GCGAAAGAGTTTAAACAATGTCCACTCGATCTCTACTGCCCTTCAATGCAGGAAAAACTTAAGAAGTGCGTTTGCGAAAAATGTGGTAGCTATTGGCCTAGCGAAGCTGCGAAAAACCGCCATAAAAAGGGCCACTCGGTGAAGGAGAGTGCAGCCTATCAGGCTAAAGATAGCGATACACTTGGCCAGGACGACGTGGAAGAAGATGTTATGGAGGAAGAAGACAATGGCAGCGCTTCTCATGCAATGCAAATTTGTAGCGCCGTTGAAAGCGAGTCGAACTGCATCATGCCAGTAATTGAAAACCTCGCTGAATTTCTGAACTCGCCACTTGCGGAAAAATGAGCTATTTACTTACATTTTACACTTTCGATTGTTTTTATCATTACATTTACACAATGTTATTGTTAAAATTTGTTATCAAAGTTAACTAGACACAAATAAAATCAGACAGTGGCTATGACTATTACTAAAATTGAGGTGAAAAATATTGAGCATGATGGGCAGGGGGGGGGTCGCTTATAGAATATTCTTGTGCACATGCGTACGCATAGGGGAGGGAGCCAAAAAATCGTACAATTGCGTACAAAGGGGAGAGGGGGTGTTAAATATTCTGGAAATTTTGCGTACGTACTAAATGGATGCCCCCATACTTAATACATTTGCAAGCATGGCAAACGTGAACTAACGGGTCAGGCCTGTTTCAAACGTCGTGCTTCTCATGTGCCGAACGCATTAGAGACAATAGATAAAGGTCAAGTAAAAGAAAAATAGTAATTTCTCGTCCCCGCCTGCATCCTTTTTCCCTGCCGCATGGATTTTTCTTTTTTTCCCCTGGGTTCGATTCCCCGCCGAGGAGACCGGGGTTCGATTCACCGCCGAGGAGAAACGTGTTTTTTTACTACTACTATTCTTTTTTCCGTGCTTTTCCCACAATTTGAACAAACGAATATAATCCTCTTTCAAGTTTAACTAATTAATTTTAGCAGATTCCTGATTTGCACAGCGAAAACGAGCCTCCTCTCCAGTCATGCATGGCAGTGCACATGCCTGTGACAAATCGGGAAAATAAGTTATTAATTGCAATAGCTTGCGTAATAATTGGCTGTAAATAGCCAAACAAGTCATATTACGCATTGAATACAATATCGCTATACCAATCAATATTACGTATCATACGTAACTTTGCAGCTTTTCACTAATTATAATATAACCCTTATGAATGCATAATTGTGTTTTGCCACCGATCTGCTGCTGCTGTTTTACCAAATATTGCAAAGCAGACAGACACAGAGTAGGCAAAATAAATTCTCGCTCAAAACTGTTGAACTGAATACTTCATGTAAACGTTAGTATAATGACTCACTCATTGTTAGATTAAGTCACGTGATAGGGAAGCATGCTTTTATTCTTTTTATGCTTCGCTAAGCACGTCCTGTATACTTCTCGTTAAAAACTACAATGAAATACGGTTACGGTTAAAGTCGATCAATTTCTAACAGGTTATGTTCCCCAGAACGTTTAGGTCCACTTTAGGGAAATCGAACGAGTGTTTAATGTATTGTTTTTTTGTGAGAATTCGTCGCTGTAAGCATGGCTGATGTGTCGCTGACTTCGGTGAAGATTGCGAAGTTAAATGGCTCGAACTATCGAGCATGGTCGTTCAATATGCGTTTATACTTGGAAAGCCTAGATCTGTTTGAGCATGCAGAAGGTACGGCTGAAAGTCTTGGAAGTAGTGCTACCGAGAACGTACGTCGAAGCTTCAATTCTAGTGCGAAGAAAGCGTGGACTCACATCTGTTTAGCTATTGAACCGGAGTATCAAATACACGTACGAGATACAAGACCAGCGAAAGAAGCTTGGGGTGCTTTAAAAGGTCAGTTTGCTCGTGAATCATTGTTGCACTAAAAAGTTAGGCTACGACAGCAATATTATTCTTGCCGTTTTCGTCCGGGAGATAATATGTTAGAGCATATAAGTCACTTAAGATCATTACATGACCAATTGAAAGAGATGGGAGTAAGTATTGATGATAAAGAACTGGCAATGATACTCCTAGCGAGTTTGGCTGAGAAGTTCAAACCGTTAATAACTGCCCTTGATGCCGTTGGTGACAAGAATGTATCTTATGAAAAGGTGAAAAACATGCTTCTAAATTATATTGACCGTAGTAGTGATGCAAAGGGTTCTGATGATGCATTTGCTGCCAGTCGTGTCTGGAATAAGAAAGGACAACATAATGGCAACTGCAATAAAGAGAAGAAAAGAGTATTTAAGGGCAAGTGCCATAATTGTCAGGAAAGGGTACATTATGCCCGAGACTGCCCAAAGAGAAATGCTGACAGTGCAAATCGAAAAGAAAGCAAGGGATCAGCTCGCTGTGCTGAAAAGGATGATGGTGATTTTATTACTGAGGACGAAGCATTGTTTACTTCTGATCTATTACATAATTCTGGATGGATTATTGATTCTGGAGCTACACAACTCATGACATTTGACAAGAGTAATTTATCAGATTATGTAGAGTTCAAGCAACCGTGTATTATTAATCTCGGGGACAATCGTTCTATATTAGCTTATGGTATGGGAACATGTCGTATTGTTGCTGATCTTGGAGACCATATATCGTATTGTTGCTGATCTTGGAGACCATATTCAAAATATAAGTCTTCGTGATGTGTTATACTTGCCTGATCTGGAAAAGAATTTACTTTCTGTCCGAGCTATGGTCAAGTTAGGAGCTATTAAATGTTTGATTCGAAGGTGAGGGATGCGAGATTACACGAAATTCAAAGCTATTGGCTGTGGGCAAGATGCAAGGAAAGCTTTATATGCTAAAGATTGTTACAGTTGATCATGTAAACATTGCAAAAGAGGATTCAAATTTAAATTTATGGCATTATCGCTATGGTCATTTGGGAATGGACAATGTAAATAAGTTGATGAAAGGTGAAATGGTTCAAGGAATGGACTGTGTGATGGACGGTGGAAGTGATTCAGTTTGTGAAGGATGTATAATGGGTAAACAACATCGAACAAAGTATCCAAGTGGAGTGGCGAAGCGTGCAACTGAACCTTTCGAGTTGGTTCATAGTGATGTTTGTGGTCCGATGTCAGTTAATTCCATTGGCGGTTCAGTCTAGATATTTTGTCACATTTATTGACGATTACACGAGATACACTTATGTTTACTTTATCAAGCATAAAGATGAAGTGTTGGCAAAATGTAAAGAATTTGTTAACTTGGCAACAAACCT